ATATTCGCGAGGTCGTGCGTTTTTTCTGTGGAACAAGAAAAGCAAACCCGCTCGAGCCAGTGCCATGTGCATATAAAGCAAAAAGGTCAATCAACATGGTACAACAACGCTCGAATCGGCATTTTCTGAAAAAAGAATCAGGTCTTCTGCGGTCCGAACCGGCGACCACCCTGGATTAGATAAGCAATGATTGCATCTGTGAATATCTTCTTTTTAAAATAATGGACCCCCCTTTGTCTCTCTTCTTAAATATAATTTGACCAAATTAACTCACAAGTGCATTGCTTTTGGCAAGCCAGCATTGAACATATATCTCCACAGAAGAACTTCTTTAGCCACAAACACTTACGACCATGGCTATCTTCAGAAAAGTACTCACAAGCACTGACGTCGAGAGAAGATTGTCATTTCCAGAGCAGAGCTTAGCTGATTTGCCGCCATTTGAAGGGAGCCCTGCAATAGATTTTCCTGTTATGGATGATGAGGACGGCAGCGTTTGGACCTTTTGCTGCACATTTCGAGCTGGAGTCTTCCCAAGGCCGGTTATTGTTAAGGGCTGGTCTCAATTCGTTCGAAGCAAAGAGCTCAAGAGCGGCGATATGGTTGTTCTTTACAAGGAGGAGGATAGTGGGGCACGGTATAAAATCAAAGTGAAGAAGAGTTCTAACTGAGTTGTACATAAACACTAAGAAATGGAATGAGTGCAACAAATGTAATATTACTCGTTTGTATTTTATATAACAGAACAAGCTTTTTGAATGCTTAATTACCATGAACGGGTTATGTTGCATAATCAGCAAAAGAGTTTCGTGATATTAATTTTTTTTTGAAAAATTGAATTTATTAAATCCAGAACTTGAATGCCATAATAAATCTAGTGCCAAACTAGTGGAAGACTCCTCTTGGCATAGACAGCAAGCTTTGGAGCGGGCTTTGCCACTGTACAATAGCTTTACAAGCCTTTAGCAGCAATGGCAGAAAAGGAAACGCGCCTGTCAAATTGAACTTGTTAACCGATGAGGTTATCGTTAAAACGTAAAAAAGAGGCGTCTCTGCCTATAGCCGTGGCCATTGTTTTTATACAAGATGTCTATCATGAAAATGAGACATGATGTCAAAGCATCATAATAAAATAACTCTCTGTATTAAATGAGAAGAGGTGATGTCAAAGCATCAAAAATTAATTTCAACTTCTTTAGATATATCCGCCATATAGGAATAAATAATTGGATAAAATATCTAGAAATTCCGACAAATAGAAATCTATTCCAAATGATGTCGCGCTATGAATTATATATAGCATCGCATGATGATAAAATAAGTAATCGGAATGGAGATCATGCTCCACGTATAGAAATCCATGGATCTACGCACCTAGTGGTCAACCATATACATATATATATATATATATATATATATATGTGTGTGTTTCTTTTCAACCTGAAAGACTTTAGAGAGCTTCAAAATGAAACATAGCACGATGATTATAGCAATATTAAAAGTTCCAAATGGATTCAGCAAAATTCTTGGTCGCTTTCAATGTCCCAGAGAAGAAAAAGAATCTTCATGTTCCGAACCTACGTACAAAAGAGTATTTGTTAGGGACCCCCATGCCTCCAATCAAACCGACAGATGCTTACGAATCCAATCAAGCCGATAAATAGACCCGTCGTGTGTTCAGAGACATGCCCACGCAAGTTCTTATAGTTTCTGTTCATTTTATTTCCAATTAATTTCCTATAGATTTGGAAGAAAAGTCGTAATAACAAGCTAGAACAATACGCAACTGACTGGTTTCTTTTTCTTTTTCTCTTTCCTTTTTGTCAATTCGTCAAATTCTTGGGGAGTGGGACCCAGCTGGCGTTAACTCTTCATTTGATTGCTAATATTGTGAAAGAATAAGAATTGATACTGATTTCAAATGAAAATTATCATACGGTGTATGGTTCTAAGTTCGACGATCACATAATGCGCCAAATCAGGGAGCGCCATCTTTAAAATATATAAATTTAATATAATGTTTTGTACTTTATTTTAGAGAAAAGAGGCTGAAAATCGTTTTTTGAATACAAAAAAATATGTATTTATCAATGATCTAAACACTCAAATCTAAATACAGAAAAAATGAAAATTTAGTGGATATTATACTTTTCTATCTTAATAATTTTTATATCTCTAAATTTCTTAAACGAGGAAATATATGATAAAAGTCCAACCACATTTGAAGTATTTGTATTTTTTTTTTTTAAAGGCAAAGAGAAGTTCGAGGAATGCTGCAACGAGTCTCATCCAAATACAAAGACAAAGCTCTCGGACTAACAGCAGTCAGAAAGCACAGATCCAAAACAAACAACAGCGCAAAAGAGAAAAAGACAAATCTAAACCCAAAAAAAAAGAAAAAGAAAAAGACAAACTGAACCCCCAAAAAGCCGAACAACAGAATCCAGAAAAATCAGCCAAGGCACAACAAAAGAAACAGCGACAAAACAAACCAAAGGGCCTCGCGGAATCAAAGCAACAAGAGATTACCACAGTCCTCACTAATTTCACTAGAGGACCCAAATTTATATTTTCGGTAATTCCATTGCATTTTACTCACATTTCTATATATCAGTCGGTGGAGTAGAAAGAAGTTATAAGGCTCAATCAGATACATATTGGATGGTTACCATGATTTTCCAATTCCGTATTCTTCTTCCCAAATGTATGGATTTCTCATTAATGAAACTGTAGTTTCTCTTCTTTGTGGGCCGGGTGGGATTGATGGTTGAAATCCATCGAATATGAATGTGAAACCATCGCCTACGGACTTCGCAAACTAACCTAACCTTTTTGACTTCGCAAACATATACAATATCACCTTTTCTCTTCTTTCGTTTCTGGCGAAGCACCCGTTGAACATTGGAGCTCCCCCTTGAAATTTGAGTGTGAAACCAGTTCATTACAAGTCTACGCTACTTCTGTTGCACACGTGGATCAATCAACAATAAACTTTCTTGGAAAAGGCCATTGCAAATAGCAAAAGAGGGTCACTGCAAATAACGAAAATTAGGAGAAGCATTTTCAACTTTGTCATAATTAACAATCCAAGTTGGATACAAGGTAGCTTTTTTTTTTTTAAAAAAAAAAAGATTCTGGTCTATTTAAAGAATAGAACCATATCCAAAAACTTGGCATCGGTCTCCGCCAACCCTCTTTTCTAGACTCAACTTCTATCCCTAGGTAGCCAGTGCCAGTCTGCAACAATGCTAGTAGAAAAAGAGCTAACGAAGACAGACGTCGGTGTGAGGTTATCCTTTCCAATGAAGTCTCTAAAAGCTTTCGAATTTCCTCAAGGGAAAGACAAGGTGGAATTTGAAGCCATAGATAGCACGGGAAAATCATGGATATTTGGTCTCTCCAGAAGGAACAGTGAGCGACACAGCCACCCGAAGCCGGTTCTTTCTTCAGGTTGGCGTGCATATGTTCAGGCAAAGGGTCTGAAACAGAATGATAGGGTCATAATTCATTACGAAAAGAGAGACAAAGCTCTGAAAACGAGATTTAAAATTCAAGCTCAGAGAAGATCCCCCAAAAAATTGAAGCTATTTGGCAAGGAGGTCGAGATTTGGGATGATTTGGAGAATTTGCAGTCAGACGTTGCCGCTTGAATTCTACTTACCAATGGGAGCTTTTATGCTGTATAGATAGTGCTTGTATCCCTACATGTGATTTATGGTACTTCTGCGTGTTTCTGGACCTTAATTATACCATTTTTTCTTTTTCTGAAAGGCAGTATAGATTTCATTAACTGATGAGAAGTACAATATGCTAAGACAAGTCTATTGCCCAGAGCTCATCGGCATAAGACCTATAGCCTAGCATAAACACTCGCAGTTAACAGTGCTTGATTATACAGTTATAGTAATAGAGTTGGGTCAAGGGATTCTACCTGTATTGTATTGTCTATCTCCTTAATTTACTATATATGGCAGGGTATTACTTATCACTTTGTTTTCATTTTTTTCGCTTAGAATCTAGTTAGGTTTCCTATCGATAAAGTCTCCCAGCAGGGTTTCAACTGATTCGCCTCTAATTTTTGGTTGAAGAACAAGACCGATGTTCATAAGTAAAGGATAATTAGCAGCGAACATATATTTCATTGATGAAGATGATGAAGATTGACAACGACTAAAATCTATTACATTCGCCATTTCATCAACAGAAGAAGATACGTGAGGCCATGGGCTTGGAAGTTTCGAAATTGTAACAAACATTAATGATACAGCCTCAGAGTGGACCTGTATTGTCTAATAAGAATGTACTATTTGGACTGTATATGGATGAACCACTAGTACAAAATTAAAAATTTGCAGATAAGTACGGACGGCCATTTATTAAATGGCAACGACATAAACCTTTGGAAAATGTTGGTATGCTCTGCCCTTCATTCAAGTTGGCATTTGTCAACCACATTAGAAAAACCTTTCTTTTTTTAATTTCTGCTTACCTTCAGTTGTAAGCAACTATACTCCAACTCTCTTTGTTTTTTAGGTTATTAATTAACTACAACTCTGATTTTAGGCTAACACTACTAAATTAATTTTATATGGTTTAAAAAAATATTCTTACTTAATGGGTATGATTTTCAATTCTTCATGGTACTGTGGATGATTTGATTATATATCATAGTTAAATGAAATTAACAAAACAAATTAATTTAAATGAGTGGGATCGCTATGAATATTTGGTTAATTAATTTTTTGGATATCAAGAATATAATCTAGAGGATTTGAGTGCCATAGTTTTCTTCTATGCAAGAAAAGAATAACAAGGATGATCTAACTTGAAATATATATTTACTCGAATTAATAAGCTTGGATGGTGCGGCAGAAAACTTCTATTTGGTCATTGTTTATGTGGAGCTCCTCATCACGTGCTTCTATTTTTGCAACCTAAAATGTTGACAGTAGGAAGATTAATAAATTTCATTTTATCAATCTCGATTAAGAGTAGAAGATAATATATATATATATGGCGTACTCCATTAACCGACTAGTTCAACCCTTTTTTTTTTATGTTGTATTAATGACCTTAATTATTGGCTAAACCAAATTGGCAGCTATTAAAGTAATATTTGTTTCTATTAAATATGTTTGCTATTATGCATATAAATATATCTTTTTTTAATCTATATAAATTTTATTTTATTACCATGGTATCTCAGCACCTTTGAAAAAAAAAAAAAAACACGACCGACAAGTAACGCAGTTGCGCAATGGAAGGCCACGTTGATGAGTACAAAAACACAATTCCAAGTCAAGGTTAATTAAGCTAAGAAATGGAAGTGAGATGCTTTGTGTCTGCAATCTAATTAGTCGATTAGCCAGTATGAATAGTGTCATGAAGCTATCACCCACTAAAAGATTGAAACGTTTGGTTAGTTCTAGAAGAAAGAGAGAATGCTGACTGCGATGATTACGGTTTTGTTGGATGTATAGTGATATTTTATAAAGTTTTTATCTCATATTGTGTAAGTATAAAAAATATTAATATTTTATATAAATAAATTTATTATAAGAAAAAAAATATAAATTCACACACACGTGAGATCAGATCAAGTTTTAAAAGTTATAACTTTCTCTTTTATATTAAATTTTATATGTCAAATAAATAAAAATTATATTTAAATATAATATATCACATCATTGTTTTGTTTGTCCTTTAACAAACACCTTTTGGGTACAAAGGCCCTTTTAATTGCCTCATCCGATAGTATAATATTCATTTCACATTTCAGTTGCCGATAATTTTGATCAAACTTTTCCAAAACAAATGAATATTTTCAGAATATAAATGGTTGCCAGCAATTATTTCATAGTCCGACTTTTCAGCGATTAACATAGATTCACAAGGTCCACTAGTTAGTATTTAATTAAGTGGATATATCAAAAGTAGTGGTGCTTTCTTTGTTTTATTTTTTCTTTAAACCTATAATGTGTCACATCACGTTGGCTTGGTGGCCATGAAACTCCCAGCGACAAAGAATACAAAAGAGACAAACAAAACGGTCATCTTTTGATGGAATCTGAGAATAGGTTTTAAGTCAGTGGCATCTCTGATTAACTTTTTCTTTTATGTGAACCCACAACATAAATCTCCAGCTAGGCAAGAAACGGGATTTCTTTGGTCTTAAGTTTGTTCTTAGTAAGAACGTGCAAGGCGGCGATGATGTCATTCTTCACGAACAAGGATGATCAAAGCTACTGGGGCCAAGTACAAAATCCAAGTGACGAAGAAGAACAGTTTCAGTTCATGTACTATATGTAAATCGAACAACTGAAAGTGAGCTAGTTAGTGTGGATATTCTGATCAACAGCTTGTTCAAATTTTCTGTGAAAGGCAACACCTTGTTCTTCTAATAATGTAGAAGCTCGTTCTGTTCAGTGCTTGACTTCTTATAGATATTTTGTATAAATTCAACACACAAAAAAAATTATATATCAATAAGTCTTGAATTTAATCTGTAAATATATATATATAATATACTATTGACTATTGCTTTGTTAAAAAGGATAGTGGATAAGGGACGTCAGCGTGCTTTTCTTGAAGAAGATAAAAAGTATATTAACAAATCATGTTGATGCATGTCGTATTCCAGGTTCTGGGATTCTTCGAATTGATGCTTATAAAACATTATTCCCAGCCGGCTGCTAATTGGACCCTCGGCTAACATAATTTCACACCTTTTCCGCTTCATTAAATTTGCCATAAGATAATAAATAGTACTGGCTCTCACAACTTTTTGCAACACCGGACGCAAAGTACGGACAATCTATGTTGAAATTGAAAAATATTTCCATCTAGTTTCGAGCACATGGTGTATTATCCATTAAAGTGTGAAGCATCTTCGGAATTCAATATTGTTTGTATTTGGTGATTGTGACAACACTTGAAGTTGATGTACATTTTCTCTTAGAACTTAACTGCAATTGAGATGGGAAAGGTGGTCTATAAATATATAGTAATTAATAGAAGTTCACTATAGCCTTGTCCAAACTGTTCGAGTCAGGGTGAACCAATGGAGCTTTGTTCCAAGATACTAAAGCGAACTGATGTTGAGGTTAGGCTATCATTTCCAACTGCTACAATGAGAAAACATTTCAGACTAGATCAGGAAGGGGGTAAGTCTCTGGAGTTCGAAGCCAGGGACAAGTGCGGAAAGGTCTGGCCATTTCGCCTCTACACTAGGAATAACGGCCACCCAAAGCCTGTTCTTACCAAAGGATGGATTAACTTCGTGAAAAAGAAGAAACTCAAAGTGGGAGATAAGGTGATTTTCTTTGTGCACGAAAATGGAGACCAGCTGGGGATTCGGGTAGAGAGAACCATAAAGCTACTCGGTCAGGAGCATTGGGCTGAATATATGTGATCGAAATTGGAAGTGAAAATGCTACTAGACTATATATAAAGGTATTGGTTTTTAGTGCAAAGTGTGATGGTCCTTATTGTCCTTTGTGTCTAGTTTTACTACTTTGCTAGCATCAGTCTGTTTTACTAGTTTGCTTTGTGTCTAGCTAGCTTCTTATTGACCTTACTGTTGATTTATCTGTAAGTTCCAGGTGTGCTTGTCATGTTATTTTTAACCTCCATGATGTAAAATACAATGTATTTGGCGTTGTTACAAATTAAAAGTATGTGGGTTTCAGGTTTTTAGCGGATCAATGGTGCTTGGTTTTCCGTTGAACCCTTCTTCTTGTACATTACAAAAAATAAACCCATTTCTAATTTCTAAAGTAATGTTCTTTTAGAAATATTTTTTGTTGATGAATATTCGAAGAAAAATTTTGTCAAAAAAAAAATTTAATCAGTATAAATCTTTTGTAGAAAATAAAAAATTTTGTCAAAATTTTTTGAAATTTACGGAAAGAAAATTTTATCTGAAATGCCATTTAACTCTGTCAAAAATAAATAAAATATTCATTGAATATTAAAATATATTTAGTCAGAAATTTAAAGGTGAATTTTTAGGCACCAACCAATATTTGTAACTGCAGTTACTAATACCTTGGAAAAATCAATTAAAGTTTAGTTTACCTGTTTTTTTTTAAATGAAATAAAAAATAAGTAAAATCTACATTCGTATGGATAATAACAAACATTAACATTACATGTGTAAAAATAAAATAACCAGGCTTCATAATCTATTAAGTCAAGGTGGGCCCCTTTGGGGAAATTTTAAGAATAATGATCTAAATTTATATGAATAAGGAAATTAATTGACTGAAAAAAAGAAAATAAGAAGAAAGAGAGACCGACAGAGTCTGCGGGCTAGGCCTTATCTGCCCAGGCAGAGTTTGCGAGCGGCCCCAGAAGAATGAGGATGTTTCCTTATTTTGGTAGGTATCCGAATGGCCTTTGGGGAAAGGGCCCATTGGACTAAGAATTTTTGCAAGTTCCATTAAATACTGGATTATAGTGATCAATTCATGTGATTTGTTTATAATTATAATTTTTTATAAAAAATATTATTTTTATTTATAACTTTTCATGTTAAGAAATATAATTTTTCATTTTGACAATACACCGAAAAATGATGCTAAGTTGTCTTTGTAAAAGATAATTGATGTAAAGGATGACTGAAAAACATTGTTTTTAGATAATAAAAGAA